GCGATTAAATTAAGCGTTCAAAAGATATTCATCATCAAACTTTTTTGTTAAAGAGCATCGAAAAAATTACCCTACTTGCAACAAAATCAATTCTCGCAATCAGTCAAACAGAAAAGTACGCAAGTAAATTAAAGCAAATATGAAGGTAATGTCTTCAAATTGTTTAAAAAAAGTAATTTCTTTTTTGAATGACGGCTTATCAACACGTCAGACAGCGAAAAATTATAGTGTTAGCTAGTCGACAGTGCAGAGAATAAGAAAAAAATACTGTAAAATTATGTTATTAAATATTGGAGAAAGACTTAAAAAATTATCACTGCAAGATGAACGAAGAAGAATTATATATAAAGTGTGTAAGTCTGTGTGAGTCAGGAAGGTTCCCGAACGATACCGATGCTTTGTTTATTGCATCAGACCGGACGTTTTGGAAAATTCGAGAACCGCGTGCGGATGGAAATAAAGAAGCGATTATTGAATCATCATGAAAAGTCGCCAGTCGCCAATCGTCATCAGTCGTTGTTCATCATCTTTCAATTAAAAAATTGCAGTTGTGTATATCGATTATTATCATAAGATTTTAAATATATATATTTGTTTCTATCTATGGCTATGGCATTCAGCATCCAATCTTAATTGATAGAATTTGGAAAAGTGTAGTTTTTATCAGCTATTCCACCCACTGATCATACTGGTGCCCTTTGTTATATATGGTTATAATATTATAATAAATAAATCCTACAATTATCTTATTCTTGAAACTGTGCATTTGTCTCATTCTCTCGAAACTTAGTTTTTTGAAGGTTTCACTTCTAACACGTGTGATCTGCACACATGATTATTTTTTTCTATACCTGCCTCGCTCAATATTTTTCTTGCTGAAGGCTTATATATAAACTAAGAAAACAAATTACAAACATTTTTCAGATTTAAGATTTCTTTCACAAATAAAAGGTTAAACATCCTGGAAATTTTGACTTTGCTATTATTCTCAAAAATATAAACTACTCGATGAAGAATCAGTTCTCATATTCGCAGGTGGAAACTCATAAAAATCTGTGGATTATAAAATCGTATGAACTTCACCCCCAGAATGTATACTCTTTATCAATTTTTTAAATCAATGAACCTTGTAGGCGTCAATGTAACTATCCAATAAGAAACAAAGTTTTATATCCTGCAAACTGATTGGTTATGCAACGAAGTAACTGATTTAAGAAGTGGAAGTAGGAATAGGTCTATAAAGAAAATCAGGAAGAAAAGTTAGGATTATTGATAAAGGATTAGAATTATTATATAGGAAAGGATTATTGATAATATTATTGATTAGGATTATTGATATAGGAAAGAATTATAGATAATTTTTCTATAATTCGGTATTTTTGTTTTAGTTCATACTAATCGTAAGTCTGCTTTAGTTAATAAGCCTGTATTCAGTTTCAATGATAAGTCTGATTTCTGTTTTGATTATATGTTTGTATTGTGTTTCAATTATTGTAATAAGTCTGTATTCTGTTCTGCAAAATCAATGAAACATTTTATAAGATTGATCGATCGATAACATAAAAGAATAATCTTAAAGATTAAAATTATTTTATTTCTGTTGATCGAAGCAGAAACAAAGGCCTACCACACCAGATACAGCAAAAGTAAGCATCTTATTTTAATTCATAATTATTTATCTTCGCTGCAATAGAATTTCGATCAAATTTATAGTTAGACTATCTTCTTTTCCTCCAATTTCTCACATCTAAATCTCATCACTCGTCAAGTCAGCCGCAATTTTTTAGGTCGTTCCCTAATAAATTCTTCGCAGCTTGACCAAAAATTGACCACATTTTTTATTACGCCACAGGACGTAAAAGTAGTATTAGATTATATTACATTTGTAATGAAAAATTATTGAATGTGATTTTATATTTTTTAACATATTTTGTAAATAATATTAAAACTTTCGATAATATTCATTGACCAACTAAATTGATGAATTACAGCTTTATTAATTTTAAAAATAACTTTGCAGTTAAAGTTTACCACTACTGTTTAGAATTAAAATAAAAAAATTTGATAAAATTAAGAAAAAAATTAAACAAGTATATATTGTTCAATAGTATTGGATTAAATTATCAACTTTCAAAGATATGTTTTCACAATAATAGTTTATTACTGATGCGAACAATTTAAAGTAATGGAAAGTGTTATAAAAATGAAGAAAACAAAAACAGCAATGTAATTTTCAATAATATTGTTCTGCATTGTATTTATAAGTATATTAATGAAAAATTAAAAATCTACTAAATATTTTTATGTATTGTATAATATTAAAAATATCGATTAACTATTTATTTACCTGTTATTAAACATAATATACGAATCATAATCTCATTAATTTCAAGGATAACTCTTGACAGAGATAGTTTATTACTATAATACTTAGAACTTCGATCGAAAGCATTGTAAAAAAAGAAAGTAAAAATAAAAAGAAGTAAAAGGAAAAAATTCAATTTAACAAATCTGTCGAGTAAAAATCGTTGATTTTTTTTTTCAATTGTTTCCTCTTTTTTCTCTTTTATTCTCGTTTTCTCTGTGTCTATCTCTGTCAGTCTCGGTGTGACGTTCGTTGATCAACTTCCATTTTGTCGATCCATCCTTGACAGCACGAAAAATATCGGAAAAGTACGATTCTGGTATCAACCGTAGAAAATCCTCGTCGTTTTTCCTTCGTTCTTGGTAATTTCAACGATGAATGATAGAAACACGGGTTTTGTCTCTTCGATCGACGTTTGAACGAGCCTCCACGCATTTTCACTTCCGTTAATAGCTTATATATNCACACACACACCA